TGATTCGTAGTTTGCACTCCAATTACCCTTCGAATTACGTAATTCGCCATACAAAATGTTAAGAGCGAATTACCTCATTTGTTGGTTATTCAGATGCAATTACCATGCGAATTACGAACAAATCGGTGCCGTACCTAATTTTTATCGGAAATTAATCGAACCTAGCTCACAAATCAAAACTTGCATTTTTCTGAATACGAAAAGTTAAGTTTATCAATGTGTATATCCCTAATTTAATACGGAAACTTATACATTTTTGGGAAGAACCTACATTTTGCCTCAATTTTTCGGCGAATAAATATATAAATTTCTTAATTAAACGCGCATTTACATAAGAACAATAAGGATATTAAAATACGCAACTCTGATCTGAACACTTCTGTTAATCGTTGGACTTCATCGGGCAGAGTTGAAAGTTTTGTCTTTGGTTAATGATTGGAGTGAGATTTACAGATGCCTTCAGATACAGATAATCGATTATTTGAGCCCAATAAGTAATAATTGACATAGAACGTTTTGCAGCATCATCATTTTGATTCGGCCAAAATTTGACCTTTTTCGTTTTTAGTTCTCTTTTAGGGGGCGATTTCGAAAATTTTGCCACATCATATATTTTTCTTCATGCAAGAAAGGACCACTCTAATGTAGACAAATGGGTACGTTTTGTATATATATACATATGTTCACTGTGCATATGTATGTATATTATTCACTGTACATACATATAATGCTTACGTTCAGGCCAAGCAGTCGATGACCGGTGGTCGCGGGTCTAGCGGTCGTTCATCCTACGTTTGCCAGCGCAACACAACTGCCCCACAGTTGATCGGCGTCGTCGTAACCGATGCACATTGCCGCTGAGGGTTTGCAGCGCGAGCCAGTCGCCGCTTTTCTCAGTTTTAAGTAGTGAGTTGTGCAAGTTTCAGTACCTCGTATTTTCCTTAGTTTTTAATCACAGTTCGTGAAGAAACATTCGTTGGCTAAGCTTGCCATCATTCATACCACTTAAATATATGTACATACATATATACACTGCGCTTCGTTATTCGTTTAAACATACGACATTATACATATAATTATTACGAAAATGACACAAAATACCGGTTACTTAATGCATTTAACTATTTAATTATCTTATAGTGACAAATAATATAGTTAAGATAGTTTATACCAACAAACATACATTTTTATATGAATTCAGATGAATTTACATTCTTGCCTCGGTGAGTCAAACAAAGATGACAGACAGAGGCGCACGGAATGATATAAAAAAAAATTAAATACGAGAGTACAAAAGAATTTCTGCATTTTCCAAGAGCGTAGGAGTGTTAACTTTTTGACTTTCGAAACTATACTTAGTACCTACAGTCAATCTGGCATTTGAGTTCTCAAATAGTCTGCGCAAAATAACACTTAAAGCTGAATGTTTAGAAAATTACCCTGAACAACATATCAAAAAGTAAGAGGTCAAGGTGTTTCGCTAATATTGTTAATTAATGAAAAGCTGATGAAGTTTTCGAGGCTAACGCAAAAAAAAAAATGCTCAGAACTTATGTTATACGACTCTTAGCAAGACAATAAAAAATATCAGAATATAGAGCAGAAAATTATCCACAATATATGGGAACCAGCCGTATATTTGCAATTAATTCTTGAAGATTTTATATCCAGGATTGTGCGAAAAAGGGGAATTTTTATTCGAATACAAAGAATGAGTAAAATAAAATTTATTTTATTCATTTTTCGACATGAGTAAGTTAAAATATTGTGAAAACATATTTTTCAGTGAAAATTTTAGAATTGGGGATGACATTTATAACAATTTGTTGAGCCTTAAAAAAATCGTATTTTTGATGTGTTGTTCCGGGTAATTTTCTGAACATTTTGGTATAAGCTTCATCCAGCGCAGACTCTTGGATATTTACCTCACTGGTATAAAACGTTTCTAAATAGATCGACTCAACTAACTGGAAACATATGTATGTATGTATGTACAAATGTATGTATGTGCATGCATAGTTCTAGTACCCTGTGGGGAAAATCTCTAGTTCTGAACTGGGGCGTTTCTAGTTCATTTAGACCCAGTACTGGTTCGCGATAAATCTCTTTTGCATGCAAGCAACTGGCGAATTTAACATGGCGATGTCCTAGGAAGTGTCAATTGCCCCCCGCTGCATCCCTTTTTCGATAGTTCCGAACTAGTCCTAAATTCTATAGTTCCGAACCAGTTCTAAAATCGACAGACGAAAGAAAAAAGTATCATGATTTTTCAATCTTTTCGGTTCTTCCGTGTGCGATTTTACATTATTTTCAAAGAAACGTTTTTTTTTAATTTGAAACTAAATTTGTTTGAATGATTGTAAGAAATGTACGTTTACATACCTTGCTGTAGCTGACTTTGCAGAGGTGCTCGCTGTTATTGGTTAGGTTCCAGATGGCCCCAAGATGTTAATATGTTAACACAAAGCTTGGTTTTGTATTACCAAACTATGAAATAGCATCTGCGAAGCACAGAATAGAAGCGTATTTGAACGAAAAAGCCGCCGAATACATATCTATGTAAATTAAACAAGCCCCCCGCTGCATCCCTTATTCGATAGTTCCGAAATAGTTATAAATTCGACAGATAGGATCTAGTTCGTTCTGCATCCCTTTTTCTATAGTTCCGAACCATTTCTAAATTCGTCCCTTTAGATATAGATTTGTAGTGAAAAAAACTGAAAAAATTAGTTTCTTAAAAGTACCACTTTTCGCCGATCTTGGACTGGTGGGGATATAGTTCCTATCGGACTAGTTCCTTTTTGGCGATAAAGACCTATGTGCATATATATGTTTGCTTGTATATGGACTTATTGCATACCAATTACGGCTTCTAAAATATTTTCATGCTGGTACTTAATCCTATAGAAACAATTAAAAAGTCGGAAAGTAGGTACTAATATTTTTATCAACTCAGCGATTATAATATTTAATTTCCATTCAATAGGAACACTTCGAAATTGGGATGAACGAAGTCATCGTACAGTTCGATAAGTAACGTAACTCTTCTTCTTACCATTTTCTCTGAAACGCTGTAGGTGTGTATTTGGCAGGCTGTACCCAGCAAAAACTTTAAACTTTTTGGGAAGTACTTATTTTTGTATCAATCGATTGCATTACTGGTAATGC